GGCATGGGAATTCCCTTTTGAAATTTCTTTCAACTTCATTCAACAACCAAATACTCTCATAGTCGCCAGCATTAGTGTATCTCATTTTCTCAAACTGACCAGATCAGATTTTTTTCAACTGATAAATAATTTTTGTTTCGTCAAACGCCAATGCGAGGAGTGCTGATTAGCAGTGGGGCTATTAATGTATTTAAAAAAAAACAAATTCCCATATCGGGAATCCAACCCGGGCCGCGCCGATGAATGTCAGAATCCTAGCCACTGGACCAGATGGGATTAGTGGAGCAGAAAGTAGCCAGAAGGTAGCTAAATCAAGAGATGTTTTCTTCTCACAGTTATTTAGGAAGTGAAATGAATTGCTGTCACATGTGAGTTTCCCTGTTGATGCTCACATTTAGAATGATTAGTCGCATCGTTACATCCTTGTCAAATCCCGTTCTGAAATTTTTAGCACTTAAAAAACAAATCGACAACAACCTCAATGTATCAAATCTTAATCAACCAATATTCATCCTCGAATAATCATTCAGTTTATTTATTTGCACATAGAAATGTTATAGGCGAACGACTCGTTGGAGTTATCAGTATATTCGGACAGCATAAAGATGGACTTATTTTTTGTGTTTCATGATGAAGAGTATGATTGGGTTGGCGGTATGATCGTGTATAAGAAGCAGAAGTTAAGATGGATATATCCACGCATCGATAAGCTTTGTGTTGGTGATTTGTACGGTCATTTATTTCATGTTCCGTGTAATGTCGAACAAGTTCTCGAGGTTTAACCTTCAACTTATTATTTTTCACTTCTTTTGCTTTCTCCTCGTTTCTCGAATCCTTATCATTGATAAGGACAAATTCACTGAACTTAGACGTTGGCGACAACGTAATATGCACTCTGAACTTTGCTATCTTGAACTGACTTTTCCTTGAAATCTTCCGATTCGATCGCCTTTTTGTTTTTCATCTTTATCAGTTTCGATGCAGTAACGTTGTTTGTCATCCTTCT